ACGTAGCATATTCATTTTCTTGTCCAGAAGACAATGAGTCCAATTTTGCCCACAGCTGGCGGGTGGGAAGAGCCACTGTTGGTCAAAACTCAGCACCCTCTACCTTGCTGAGGTAATGATGCTTCCCTTCAACCTTTTCTTCTGTGGCCTTGTTTCTTTCTTGTTTATTCACTGAATTCCAAGTCAGAAGGGATCTTAGTTGCAGACTATTCTAGTTCAGCTCCTTATTATTGTTATTATTTAATGAAAAAAAAAATTAAGTCAGATTGGTCACTGTGTCAAGAATCACGTGGTTGATTCACAGAGCCAGGACCCGAGCCTAACTCTCTTGGATTTTCAAAGACTGATCTAGATTGGGAGGTACGGCAGGGGAGGGCTATGAGGGGTTACGGATGACAAAAGAATGGTTTCAGACAGGGTTATCATCATTCAAAGAAGTAAGCCACACAACTCAATAATTCACTCCATACATATATAGACACATACATATATATGTGTGTCTATATATGTATGGAGTGAATTATTGAGTTATATATATATACACATATATGTGTATGTGTCTATACATGTACTTGCCACTTCTGTGGCATTGGGGATAGAGCAGCTAGCAAGACAGGTACACATTATGTCTTCAGAGACCCTCTAGTCCAGTGGAAGAAGCAGATAATGCATAAGACATAAATACGATAATTAGAGCATGTGAGGAGTGCTATGGAAGATTTAAACTGGGTGAAATGATGGGGAATAATGAGGCGGGTAGTAGGGTGCCACTTGAGGCTTGTCTCTTTGTTATCCACAGTCCTGAAATGCTGCAGTCATACACACCTTCCCTGTAACTTTCATTCTTTTTTGTCCCTCTGTTCAACAATAAGGGAACAAAAGAAAATGTTCTGTTTTAATTTATCTGCCTATAGTCTCTGATGCTTCACAGTCTTGTATAGTCAGTAAATCAGAAAGAGCCCCCCCTCCCCCGAGTTCCTATTCCCAGTCTAGAAGGGGAATTAGGGAGAGCAGGAGGGATTTCACAGAGCTTGCTACGCAGCAGCTTGAGAGAGATAAGAGATACACAGATGGCATGTGTGAACACGGATGCCTGGTGGTGGGTGGTGGGTGGCGGGTGGTCAAGTGTCAGAGCACATGCGAAGGTTAAATGAGGCCATCATTTTATGTGTCCTCTACACCGTGAGACTCTAAATCAAATGGCATGAAACCCAACCTAGGCCTGGCCGTCATTTAAATTAATGCTCTTATGTTGCTCCCACTCTGGCTCCCCCTTCCCCTGGTATTCATCGGATGGCTGACCTCTCCCATTTTTAGCCAGTCTGCTGACTTTTAACTCCAGAGAACTCCTAGTCCCTCAAGACAATCATTGCTCTTTCTCTTTCTATTCACCTTATACTGTTCTACTCTTTGCCTGCTCCACAGAGTCCAGATTCTAAAAATACTATCACAGGGTCAAGGGTCAAACTTCTACACTGAAAACAGGCTTAGTATTTTCTTTATCCTACAAGGAGAATCAAGGAATTAAAGTACACATTTCATCAAGAGAGTCTTAACAGAGATATATACCGGAGTGTGGACTAAGAATAAGGAAGGGTTGCTCCTGCTGTTAGGACCACAGGTAACAAATTTTGGAGTCAGGAAGTAAATGCACTTGGGAGTCAAGAGATCAACATGTTTGATTAGAAGACAAGGTTTCTAGACATTCTAAGGGAGGCAACTAGCTTACGGAAACTAGCTTAGTGTTGAAAGCAACTAGCTTACTGAACACGTAACTTCCATGATACTCATGTTTCAGGAACAACATGTAGAATGGAATCCAAGGGAGGGCGGCTTTAGGCATTAAAACCACTTAGAAAGACTTCACCACCGTTTGAGGAAGGAGTACCTGGAGTGATTTGTCAACAGAGGGAACACAGAAGGGCTTTCGACAGGCCCAGGCCTCACTCCTCTTGTGGTGGTGGATGAAGGTCAAGACACAGTAAGTGGTTACTGAAGCTTGGGACTGGGTTACCCAGGGAGAGAATGGTGTCCAGAGGGAAGTGAGCAGGGTGTGGTCTGATTTTAGTGTTAGGCATTTGGAGTCAGAAGTACAGTCAGAAGCAATTGCAGAGGTACAGCAACCTTTGCTGCATAGAACACTGGAGTTCAGTAATAGATTCGGAGTGTGTTATTCTAGGCCCATCTAGGCCTTGGCAAAGCAGACATCATAGCTTTGAACAAGAATTAGAGTAGTAAGTAGAAGACAAAAGACAGCCATCATGGAGATCTAGAACAGTATACTGTCTAATGTCAATTCTGTTTCTCCCACATACGTAACACTCCATCTATCTACCCATCCCCCCATCCCTCCATGTGCTCACCTGTCACTATGCCCAGCAAGTGCTATCTACTGTGACCTCTATCTTCAGTAAAGGCTGTAGATATAATCAGAGGTTATATACTGTCTATTAACCAGAGTATAACAGAGACCAGCCCGTTAGAATGAGCATATGCTGTGGCATTGAAGGATCATTAACTCTTTTGTTCTGGATGAAGGGTTCATGTAGGGGAATAATACGTACAGAATTGCGGGGAAGGAAGACACTTAAGGGGCTTGGGACAGCAGTGGTTTACCAAACAATGTCTATACTGGTAATACCAGCTGAGTATCAGCCTGGATGCAAGGATGGAAAACTGAATACAGAACTGGCTCCTGTATTCATGGGGCCTCTAGTCCAGAGTTGTCCCATCCATATGGTAGATTATTGCTGCCGTGTGACAATGCTTAAATTTAAATCAACTAAAAATAAACAAAGTAGTAAACTTAGTTCCCTGGTGGCAGCAGCCACATTTCAAGTGCTCAGTGTGGTTACCATACTGGACGGCACAGAGAAAAAATATTCCTATCATGACAGAAAATTGTGCTGGAGAGCACTGGGCAAAAGGAAAAAGCAAACATTAAATTAATTTTTGGTCAATTAATTAATAAATTATAATTCCGGCACAGCATGCCAGGGGAGTATAATCTGATGGGAGACAGAGACCTTAGGAAGGCTTCCCCTGGAACTTAAATTTTAAAGTTGTAGGAAATGACTCTGAGGGTGAAATTCAGCCAAGGGCCCTACTGCCGTCAGCCTCCTGTAGGTTTCCTCTTGGTCCTAGACACTGACTGAGGATCACTGCTCCGGCTCTCATAGCGCGGAAACCATCGAAATCTATTAGGTACACAGAAATTGGGCAGCCGTTCTAAATATCCCCAGTGAGAAGTTTTTCCATTTCTTCCCTTTTTATTTTTTTTTAAATTATCAGATATCTACACACTGGTATGGAGGAGCAAATTAATAATTTTTTTCCTCCTTAGACCACAATCGTAGATATGGAAATACCATATCCAAAGACAAATTAACATGAGCTCCTTACAACACTGTACTAATTATCTCGGGGACCAGAGGCTCCCCTAGGTTAGAAATTTCAGCCCCAATCCAGCGTTGGAACATGGATTCCTTTCTGAGAAGCAGTAATTTGTATCATGTTGAGAAGGTAGAGAGAAAGGTGGGAGGGTCGCACATAATCTGAAAACCCATCCTTGACACCTTCCTCCCTCCATCCCTACCCTGCCTGCTCCGCAAAGGCATCTATGAGAAGAGAAGGATACTGATGGAAACGGAAAAAGATAAAGTAACATGCATATTTAACTTTACACCAAATAGATGTGAACAGACTTCCTGCCAAACAGCCCCTCCTTTCCACTTACAGAATATCGCAGTTTTTAGAAAATGCTGTAGCCTGAACTTCAAAGGCATTGAAAGATAGATGTGGCATGTAGGGAATTAGACACGAAATTTCCTTTATTATTGGGAACAAAAGCTGTGGGTCTAATCTCCTGTGTGATACAAGCTTTCGCTGATCAGGGTTACACTAAGTCACTCTGATGTAGCAAACAGCGAATACACCATCTTTTTTATTTCTTTCTGTCTCCTCCCTCCTCTACCATTCACATATGCAAATTCTGTACCCAAAAGGGGAGTCATGCCATGCCACTGAGGGCAAAGAATTCCCTTTGATCAGCCTCTTCCAGGCCTGGAATCCCCCAGCCTCGGATTCTACCTGCCCCTTTATGATATTTGATGCATCAAATTATATTCCACCAATCTCAAAAGTAGGACATGTTAAAAAAATTCTAAAACCTTACAAGGGAAGCTACGCCTTGAAAAAAAAAAAGTATTTCCTTTAGCCTTTTAAAGCTAGCCTTTTAAAACTTGGATATTTATTATTAAATTATTACAGAGCGATTCATAAAACAAGTTGTTTGGCCACAGAACTACTGCAGAGGAGAGCGAATGCCTGAGACTTTTACAGAGGTGCTCGTCTACCAACACCACCCCCTCAAAAGCTAGTATATCGTAAAAAATAAGAGTCGGGGAAATCGGAGAAAATACTGCTGGCTTCACCAAAAATCAAGTCCTTACGCACAATGAGAAAGGCAGACGGCGGAAAGTGCTTACTTGCGAAAAACAAATGCAATTTCTGAAACGTACCCCAGCATCCTAAAGTACCAAATTTCTTTTTCTGAGGTAATTTTTATACAGTAGTAATGTATTCTGGCCCAAAATGAATTGTTCTTAAATGCCTCAAGAAATATGTGGTCTCACTAACTGATCTGTTCTGCTTTGCAGGGTCATGCAACTGGGAGAGAGGGATGAGGTTTCTCCTAATGAGAAAAGCTTAGGGAACAAAAGGACAACAAAAGCACATTTCATTTTAACCCCTAGCCAGTAGTGGTAGGGTTAACCCCCTGACACGCACACACATTCCCTGTGTTCCTTGTGGGGGTTCTGCCCAGCAAACCCTCCCCTCACCTCTGAATCCAATGTAGTAGTGCAGAAAAGAAAGACACAGGCAGGCAGCCCAGTGTTTGTGGGAACTTCAGGCCCGCTGAAGAGAGCTTTTCATCTCAAACACGATCAAAGAAATAGATGTATTTATGTAATGAAGGTTCAAAAAGTGGTCACACTTACTGAATGCTGAGTCCGATCAAGGAAGCCGTAAGTTCCACTGGCATGAGTTCTTTGAGCAGTGTCCTAGGGAAGAAGAGAGGGGAAGACTTTAGGATGGAGGAAGGTATTGTACTGTGCCTTTATTTTTTTGTCATAGTCACATGTGGCTAACTTCTAAAATAGGCTCTTGATACTATGAATTGAACAACGATGATGGTGGTGGTGATGATGATGGTGATGAAAATGATTAAGTCAGTTAAGCACCTTTGACTCAGGTCATGATCCCAGGGTCCTGGGATCAAGCCTGCATCGAGATCCCTGCTCAGCAGGAAGTCGTCTTCTCCCTTTCCCTCTGCCATTCCCCCTGCTTGTGCTCGATCTCTCTCTCTCTCCATCAAATAAATAAATAAAAACCTTTTTTAAAAAATCAAGTCTTTCAATATATTTTCATTTAATTCTTTCACACTGCAATAGAAGGTGTTATGATTTTCTCTATTCCAGAAGAAGAAACCAAGGCTCAGACAGCTCAAGTAAGTTGTACAGAATATGCATGTAGGTGACAGAGCCTGGATTTGAAGTTGGTGATTGAACATTGAGTTTAGAACCACTCTGCTGAGCTCTTGCCTGACACAGTGAGCTCCATGCCACAGGATGTTTTCAAGGAAGGATGAGAAGCCAATCTTTCAGAGACATTATTGTGGATTTTCCCACATGGAATCAGGTGAAATGATATAAACTTTAAATATCTTTTCAACTCCAGAACTCCAGGATTCTATAAAGTTCAATCCCATGATGGCCAATATTCAACGTGACTCCATTTTGAAATGAATAAAACTGTGATTTTTAATTAAAATTGTGATTTTAGGTGTCCCATCAAGAATCAGTTTCATAAGCATGGCTATCATCACCCAATCAGAAGGAGGAAGATCCACGTTCACTGATATTTAAATAAACCAAATATCACACAAACTGCAAATGGCCATTATAATCTCATATAATTCGGTGAGTTGGGGGAGAGGTCATAGCCAACAGAAAGATTTACTAATAGATCTGAAAGAGTTACATGGCACCCTATACTCAAGAGAGTTGATTCTGACCCTTTCGCCTTCTGGGAGACACATAAGTAGCAGAAATGGGGTTAATTTGCAGCATTCTAGAATATTGACCTGGGGCTCTATTACTCTTCCCAAGTACTGACACAATGTAAAACCAGACTCAAAGTAACTCCCAAGTTTCAGAGCTTGCTTATAAACATTACTCACAGATATATGTTTGGAAAATATGCTCCCTTTCTTAGTATCTCAATATGATAGACTTTCTTTTTTAAATCTTCCCATTTGGTAAGCTCACTGATATTGGTAACTTAGAACATCTGAGAACACTGAGTGGTTTCAAAACACTGGAAGAGAGATTTGTATCTGGAGAAGCCTGCGGGTGCACACAGCTATGAAGTAGCAAGGATGGTGGTGACAGTGGTCATTTGTCTGTTCTTTCTTCCTCCCCTTCATTCATTCATCTATCCCATCATCCAAGGCTCTGCTACCTATCAGCTTTGTGACCATGACTGAGTCACTTAGCTTTTCTTTGTCTCAACTTCCTAATCTATAAAATGAGAACAAATACACTGCCTACCTCAATAGATTGAGGCAAGTATTAAAAGTTAATATTTGTAAGGCACTTGGCATTGTGCCTGGCACAAAGTCAGTGCTGTTTAAAAGTTATTTATTCTTATTATTGAAATATATAGTATTTTATTAGTTTAGGTGTACAACATAGTGATTTGACAATTATATACATTATGAAATGCTCAGCACATTAAATGTAGTTACCACCTGTTACCATACAAAATTATTCTGATACCATTGACTACATGCCCTATGATGTAATTTTCATCCCTGTGACTTACTCATTTTATAACTGGAAGTTTGTATAAAAGTTTGTTATGGGGGCACCTGGGTGGCTCAGTGGTTTGGGCCTCTACCTTTGGCTCAGATCATGGTCTCAGGGTCCTTGGAATCGAGCCCCGCATCGGACTCTCTGCTCAGCGGGGAGCCTGCTTCCCCCCCTCCCCCTGCCTGCTGCTCTGCCTACTTGTGATCTCTCTCTCTGTCAGATTAAAAAAAAAAAAATTAAAAAAAAGAAGTTTGTTATGATTTACTAAGTGCTTTTTTACACCAAGCACTGTCCTCTTGATGCCTACGCTCCGTGGCACTCCGGGAGGTTGGGGAAGACTTGCCAAGGAAGTGGCAATGGAACTGAACTCTTCATGCTGAGAAGAAGGTAAGCACATGAAGTGAAAGAACAAGATTTGGAGAAAGGAGGTAGGAACAGTTAGAAAATGAATAGTCAAAGTATGTAATTATCTTCTATAAATTCATAGAATGCCTCAGTTGGAGAATTTTCTGTGTGTCCTAATAATGATAAAAATATTAGTGATGATTATAACAGAAAAATACTAGTAGTAATAGTTTTATTGAACCCAAAGTATACCCAGGCTTTGTATCAAAATATGCATGCGTCTTCTTATTTATTAAAAATGGCGACAGTTCCTATCCTCAAGTTCAGCCTTCTTAACCCTTGCCCTCCCTCCTCCAGTCCCTTCCTCCTTCCCTTCACACACTTACCAACAGACTCTAGGATCCAGCTAAAATGCACTACTTGAAACACGCACGTCCACCTAAGTGTGACCTTCTCTCTGTTGCTTTCGCTGACCTGTTCAGCTGGACTGAATTTTTTTCCAGGGTCCCTGGGGTCTGTCACATAGCCTTGTCTCTGAACAAGAATCATACACTCTAATCTACTGTAGAGTTGGCCTGCTCAGACTGTGAACTCCTAGAGGACAAGGACAATGTTTTATTCAATTTGGTAGCCTCATCGCCTGGCACAGCGCCCAGACACTTAGCAGCGACTCACTATACTGAACAGCATCAGAAGTGATTCCTCATTGACCCAAAGTGGTACACCTCCAAAGAAGGGCACTGAACTTCATTCCAGAGGGAGGTTCTCCCTAAGCCAAATGGCCTTCACTTATGTTCCCATATTTGGTACCCAGGTGAAAATGTTAACCTCTCATGCATGTCAGCTTTACGGCCACAACTGTAGATTTGCTTTAAATTCAACCTGTGGTTGAAATGAATTTATAACCACACACCCTTACTGATTAGTAAGAATCAGTCAAATCCTCCAGGTAGATAATTTTATAAAAGCAAATAATGGGGGGGTATCTGGGTGACTCAGTTGGTTAAGCATCCCACTCTTGATTTCTGCTTAAGTCGTGGTCTCAGGATTGTGAGATCAAGTCTTGCATTGGGCTCTGCACTGGGCATGGAGCCTGCTTAAGATTCTCTCTTTCGCTCTCCCTTTCCTTCTCTCTCTCTCCCTCATAAATGAATGAATGAATGAATGAATGCAAACAAAGGCTGGGAACTACTATTCCAAGTTGAGAACAGAAATGGTCATTAACAATGGCACATTGTCAGAGAGTGAGAAAAATCTAAGATACTCTCTAGTGTAGAGGAGTTCCAGAGGAGTTGTATATATTAAAACAAAACAAAACAAAAAAACTAAGATTGTCCTGAGTTTGCAATTACTCTTGCAATCTCCCTAAAGAGCAATTTGTGACCAGGGAGAATCCTGGGTCCCAATGGACCTGGGTGGAATTTTCATCATACCAAGACTATGCCAGAGCCCAAAGGCTGAGAGGGAACGAAACGCGCAAGGACATCAGAACAAAGTCAGGCAGACGGAGGTGAAGGATGGCTTTCTGCATTAGCTGCCCTAACCTCTGCTCTCGTCAAACAGACGCACGAAACAGCGAACCAATTACTTCCAAAACACTGGAGTTGATGACCCCTGGGCAGACAGTGTGCAGTTTAACTTTCTTGCTTGGTGAACAGGGCTGGCTATTGCAGTGTTTCCACTTTCCACTCCCACAGACGACCACCGACTGCTTTGGGGTTTCCTCACCTGACGACCACAGTGGGCTGTGGAGATCACCTTCTGGCTCCAGGCTTGCACCTCTCATCCTTCCACAGAGCAGGCACAGTGATCTTTACAGAATGTGACTGTGACTGTACTATTTGATTGATTAAACCCCGCACTGATTCCATTCCGGAATAAGCCTGACATCCTGACAACCTGACTTCCTGCATGCTCTGCTTCTGCCCACAGTTCCAGCTTTACTCACTTGTCACCCTCCTCCTGGACCCCGTCGTGTACCAGCCCTGGGGACCTTCCAGTTCTGGATAGTACTTTACTCGCCACCTGCCACAGGGATGTTGCACATGCTGCATCTTCAGGCTGGGATGCTCTTCACACTGATGAGCTCCCGCTCATCATGACTTTCTTGTGGAAACCCCTACCACGTGGTCTCCAGAGCTCTTCCTCCATAGCACACATCGCAGCTGTCATGTAACAGTCAGTTACAAGTGATCTGACTGATGTCCGTCTGCTTCCACTATGTTAGCTCCCCGAGGGCCAGGACTGCATCTGTCCTGCTCGCCATTTTATTGCCAGCTCTGACCACACTGTTGTGGCTCTAAGGCATTCAATACGTATTTGCCAAAGGAAGGACAGATGGAAGAGAGGAAGGGTGGAAAGAAGGCTTCCTCACCCTGTCACTCACTTTAGACATGCTTTGGGTGGCTACACAGCTTTTCTGAGTTATTCGTCTCCCCATACCCCATCTCTGCCTGGCATAGGTACAGAAATCGTGTATTCAGTATACGATCCTGGCTCCATGAGGGCAGTGTTCCATAGGGATGGAACCTCACCTAATCACAGGTCAGTTCTCTCTCGGGAAGTTAGAGGGCAGTCTTGAGTTTTTGCTGGTTTCTAGAACTGAGGACTCAGTAATGATGGGGTCACCATTCTCTGCCAGGTGTTCGGCGAGAAGAAGAGAAGAAGCCAGGCTCTGGAGCAAGAAGAATGCGGCAGAGAAAATAATAGGCAATACTGGAGGGGCCACAGGAGGGAGGTTTCTGGGTGGAGCTGAGACTCACCACTATGGTGTGTAATAAATATCCCCATTTCTTGAGCTACTCTGAATGGGTTTCTGTTACTTGCCATTAGAAGAGCCACATGCG